GTGACCATAAGGGGCTGTCCCAGCATGAGCTTATCTTCATCTTTAACCAATAAGGCATGGCTGCAATAATTGAGGCAGCTCGGCCATCCAGAGGCCATGGGATCAAGCTTTTTCGACAAGTAAGCCACAGGTCTCTTCCAAGGCCTGAGCATTTGGGTCAGGACTCCCTTCGCTATTCCCGCTTGTTCATTGTCAACAAAGAGCTGATAGGGCTTATGGATATCTGACAGAGCCAAGGCCGGTGCCTGCAATAAAGCCTTCTTAGTTTCTTGAAAGGCCCTCTCCTGAGTCTCAGTTCATAGGAAGGATGACTCATTTCCTCGAGTGGCTTCATACAAGGGTTTTGCCAGCTCAGCAGAAGCCTGCCGATCCCAAGAACTCTTGCAACTGCCTGTGGGATCTTGGGCTTGGAATTCCCATAATGGTTTGCTTTCTGGCTGGTGACAGCCACCTCTGCCCATCCCTTAATATGTACCCCAAGTACATTACCTCCGTGACACAGAGCTGAGCCTTCTTGGCAGAGACCTTATACCCCAATTGGTCCAAGGTCAGGAGCAAATCTCTGGTGGCCTGAAGACAAGTGCCCTCATCCTCAGTGGCAATCAACTGGTCATAAACATACTGTAGGAGGCTTACCTCTGAGTGCAAGACCTGATACTCCTGCAAGTCCTAGTGTAGAGCCTCATCAAAGATAGTAGGGGATTTTTTGAACCCTCGTGGCAGTCACATCCAAGTGAGTTGTCCATTAAACTCTTGGTTCTGGTCTTGCCACTCAAAGGCAAAGATGGGTTGACTTTCCCCTGCCAAGATCAGGCTAAAGAAGGAGTCCTTGAAATCTAAAGCAGTATAGACCCTTCTCTCCGGAGAGAATGAGCACAGCAGGGTGTACGGGTTGGGGAGTATAGGTTGGATATCCTCTACCCTCTTGTTAACTTCTCTCAAATCCTGCACTGGGTGGAAATCATTAGTCCCCAGTTTCTTGATGGGTAGGAGAGGAGTGTTCCATGGAGATTGGCATGGAACCAGAATACCAAACTCCCTAAGGTGGTTTATGAGTTTGGTAATTCCTGCCCTGGCTTCAAGAGTCATCGGGTACTGTTTTACTCTTACAGGCTGAGCATTAGTTTTTAAAGTAACCATTATTGGTGGCTGTTGGATGGCCCTCCCTGGGGAATTAGTTTCCACACAAACTCCAGGGATTGCTGCCTGGAGGTCCTTGAAGATAGTGGTTGGTCTCTTTTGAGGGGGTGGGGCGTGCACTCTCCATTCTTCTTCTAGTTGTAAGCATAGGATATAGGCTGCATCCGGTACAGTCACATCAGGAGGTTACCCAATAAGGGATATGGGCACTCTGGGACCACCATAAAGGAGTGTGAAACTGTCTTTTTACCTAAGTTTACTTCCCTTTTGGTAGTCCAAGGGTGCTGAGCGATTCCCGTGGCTCCTTGCACCCAGGTGTGTTTATTGGTCAATTTTCCCATAGGCTCTTTTAAAACTGAATATTGTGCTCCAGTGTCAACTAGGAAGTCAACAGCTTGTCCCTCCACTTATAGGGTCACCCAGGGCTTGTGGTGGAGGTTCACCAAGCCGGGCCCCTTCAGTTTTCTATGTTTGCCAACTCGAGGATCTTGGGCTTGGAAGGAAGCTGGGATCCCATCCTTGAGGACATTCCCTAGCCCAGTGGCCCAGCTGCTTACAATATGCACACTGGTCTCTTTTTAGGTGGGGCCAACCTTCCTGTGGGGGGTCTCGGGGCTCAGGTTCCATTTTTCATAGAGGGCAGGTCCCCCCATTTGGGATTCGTTGCTCTTTCAGCCAACAATATCCTAGCCAGCCTGTTTGTCTTTCTTCAGGGGTTTCTCTGTTGTTAAATACCTTGTTCACCACCACCATCAGCTCAGAAAGGTTTTTGCCCTCGAAACCTTCCAGTCTTTGAAGTTTTCGTTTTATGTCTGGAGCTGCCCGATTTACAAAAGCCATATTGATGGCCATCTGATTCTCTGGGGACTCCAGATTTATGGGAGTATAAGTTCTGAAAGCCTCTAACAGGCGTTCCAGGTACACTCCAGGAGACTCATCCCTTCTCTGCATCACCTGACTGACCTTAGACAAATTGGTGGGGTGCTTAGCAGCTGCCTGGAGACCCCCCCATAAGAATCTTGTGATAGACCTTTAGTTGTTCCCTACCTTTGGGAGTGTTATAGTCCCACCCCTCCATTGGGCGCATGAGAGGAAACGCAGCCGTAATCAAGTCTCCATTCTCTGTTCTGTTAGGCACATGAGAGGGAAAGCAGCCGCAATCAAATCCTCATTCTCTGTCGGTCGCCCATCATTTCCAGGGACCGCATGTCTGCATTTCCAAAGGATGCGGTTCCGTTCCTTGGTGGTGAACAGGATATTTAATAACTGTTGGCAATCATCCCAAGTGGGTTGGTGGGTAAAAAGAATGGTATCCAGGAGGGAAATTAGGGCCTGAGGCTTCTCCATGAAGGAGGGAGTCTGTAACTTCCAATTATACAAGTCACTAGTAGAAAAGGCAAAGTAGGCTACTGGGGCAATTCCATCCTCCCTTGGGGTTCCAATCTCCCTCAGGGGAAGAGCTCACACAAGTCTCCCCTCCCCCTTCAAGCAAGTGTGCATTGGGCTGGGCTAGGCCACGGGAGGTGCTGGCTCAGCCATGGTGGCTGGGGACGGAGACTGGGAAGGACTGGAAAAAGAGGAAGATGCTCATGACCTGCGTTCCCTAGGTCTATCCTGAGCACTCACTGGGGCCCCATAAGGTGGCGGGAGTAAATCTTCCCCTGGCGCCGAGGGAAGGACCTTGGGACCCATGGGTTTTTGGTCTGAACTTTGTTCAGGGGAAGCAAAGTGGCTGGCTCCTTAGACCCCATGACGGGGGCAGCAGTAAGGGGCACAGCCAGTCGGGGGGGGGCAGCAACGAGGTATCCCCAACCTAGGATGTATGGGATCTGGTCAGGGTGCCCCGGTTCCCCGAAGATAACTTCTTGAACCCTGTAGATGAGGGACAGGTTAAAGGACCCTTCAGGTGGCCATTCAACTTCAAAGGAGGGCCATTCGATGGTGCAGAGGGTCTGGAGGCGGGTCGGCTTGACACAGAGTCCAGACATGTTCAAAGCCACTCATTTGTATTCCTGAAAATGACTAAGAACTAGATCAAGGGGAGCTGAAGATGATGAGACTTTCTGGCCCATCGTGGGATAAGCTTCAAGAAAAAAGAATATAAGGAGAGGCATGAGAATGAGAAGTAGGATGGAAAGTTGATAGACAAGGCGGAGCTCCAAGCAGAGGGTGAGGACAGTATGAGATGGCAGTTCCCTAGAGGGAGAAATGAAAATCTCACAGCACGCGGGGTCAGCTGAGAAGGCTGCCCCTGTTCCTTTCCCAAAAAGATTTGGCCAGCCCAGATTCCACGTCAGACTGGGCCAAGACTCTGGGCCGGCCCCGCCTGGATTCCACATCAGACGGGAGCACAACTCCTCAACAGAAGAGGAGTCAGGGCGTCCCCCATTTTCCTCCAGCTCTGGGATCAATAGTGTGTCCACCTGATCTCTGTTGAGCCCCAGGATGTCCGGACTACCAAAAAGCAAGACAGAGAGAGAGAGAGAGAGAGAGAGAGAGAGAGAGAGAGAGAGAGAGAGAGAGAGAGAGAGAGAGAGAGAGAGAGAGGGAGAGAGACAAAGGCAGGCAGAACTTACCAAGGCCAGCTCCGGTGGCACTTCCATGGGTCTCTATTCTTGAATCCCAGATGAGCCTCCACAATGTTAGGGTTCGAGAATCGAGAATAATTCCCACAGATACCCAAAAAGATTATAGAAAAGTTTATTTAAGAATTTAAAGTTTAAAAAAAAGACAATAACCAAATGGCAGCTAGCCAGGCACAGACTTCACAAGCCAAATATGGAGTCTGGCCCCAAACAATAGCAGGTAGGAGCTTTTACTGGGGCACTCCATAGAAACCCATGCATGCCAAGCATTTTTTAAAATAATTGGATGTCCCCATATCCTGTGTACGGGAAAGGTCTTGATTGGTAGGGGCTGTCTTCAGGGCATTGGAATGTGCTAATATCTTTTAGAGTCAGAAGTTTTTGTTCATACCTTATAAGGCTTTTACATGTACAATAAGCCTGAGCTTGTCTGGGCTTGTCTAAAGAAGCTAGCCAAAATGGAGTCAGAGCATTCTGGCTCTTCAGTATTTCTGTGGTAGAAATATTCCCACAGTGGCCACTTACAGCCTACCAGCATGATGTGCCTGAGTGTGGACCTGGGAAGATCTTCACAGTAGCACAATGATCCCACATGATAGACATGGCTTCAAGAATAGAATGTAGCCAGGGAAAGATGAGCTTTGAATATGTATTACCCTTGTCTATAAGTTTTTATTTCTGGATTTTCATAATCAACTTTTTAATAATAATTTGCTTTAAAAATATCTTGTGGGCTGGGGAGATAGCTCAGTGAATAAAGCACTTGAATGAGGACCACAGTTCAGAACCCCAGAACCCATAGGCAGGCAGGCACAGCAGCCACTGTAATCCCAGCACTGAGAGGGCACAGACAGGAGAGCCCCAAGGCACGCTGCCCAGCTAGACTAGTCAAATCAGCAAGCTCCAGGTTCAGGGAGAGGCCCTGCCTTGGTACAGCAAAGACCAATCCAGGAAGATTCCTGTTGTCAGGAGTAGCCTTCTTATACAGGTATCCCTGCACACACTCCCCACACATACACACACCTAAAAAGAAGGAAAGAAAAAGACAGCTTGCTACATTTCTTAAAATTTAACACATGCAGGGCAGTCTTTGGCTCTGCTCTGTGTTGGATGAGCATGTTTCCTCCACTGTTGGAGGAGTTTCCTAAGTGTGAGGAAACTGTTTCTGTGACCATACCCTCTTGGTAGAGTGTCTGGTATGTTCCAAGTACTCAGTACATATTTACTGAAGTAATGTGTTTGTATTTAAAATCTGTCATTTGTTTGTTTTCAAAGTGCCTAGTAAAGTGGTCTGCTGGGAACTATTCAGATAAATGGAGACCCATACCTAGCTGTGAAACCGTCAGGACAACACTGTGTCTTTCCTCGAGATACTGTCCCAAGAGGAATGCTCTTTCTCCGTGTACAAGCAGCAGATGGAAATAACACATCTTTTTGGTCTGAAGAAAAAAAAACAAAGTTCAAAAACTAGAGAAGCCAAGGTTGGGGCACAGTGTCCAGCTGTAATCCAGCTTGGCCCAGAACATACCATGTAGCCCAGGGGCCCAGTGTCTAGCTCTGTAACCCAGCTTGGCCCAGAACACACCATGTAGCCCAGGCTGGTTTCAAACTTGGGGCAGTCTTCCTGCCTCCGAGGCCTCTTGAGTGATGAGATTATAGGTGTGATCCATGCCTAGCTTAGACCATGTTTTTACATGAAATGAGAATTCCCCAATTTCATGTAAATTGTTAAAAATGCATGCAAAATAAAGGAATGAAAAAATTATAAAAATAATTTTAAGACGTCTAATTACACATCAAGTCTCTGTACTTTTCCAGCTACTATCCTTCACTGGTTGTTGCCAAGACAACCACTAATTATTCACCACTTGGACACCCATTAATGATTCACCACATTTATGTCAGTTGTCTAGATGAGTCCATGAACAACTTTCAGGAACATTTACAAATTTATTTTTGAAGAAAACACTTCAAATCCTGAGGTATAATGACTACATAGTGTTACTTTGTAACTTAGCATTACCAGTGTGATTTGGGTAAAGAAAGATTGAATTTTATTTGGGGGAGGGTCTTTTAAATTCTTAAGATTGTGATTATTTGCTGTATTTCAACTATTAGTCTGATATTTGCAGACTATCAGCATTTTCCATGTTTCACAGGTGTGGGCTACCTGCATCTGGACCCCAGTTTCCTTCTTTTTAAACCTTTTTTAAGAATTACATTTATTTATTATGTGCCACAGGGTGGGTGAGAAGGTCAGAGGACAAGTTGTGGGCATTGGTTCTCTCCTTCCAGAATGTGGGTCCCAGTAATTTAACTCAGTTCATCAGGGTTAGCAGGAGGTGCCTTACCTGCTGAGCCATCTTGCTGGCTCTCCACTTTGCCTTTGAAATGCATTGTCAGTTTGACACAGCCTAGAGTCCTCTAAGAGAAATCTATCCATTAAGGAATTGCCTAGATAAGATTGGCCTGTGGACAGATCTCTAGGGGATTGTCTTGATTGTTAATCAATGTAAGAGGGCCTACGCCTCTGTAAATGGACAGATGGTCCTGGGCTTTATAGAAAAGATAGCTAAGGGGCTGGAGAGATGGCTCTGCAGTTAAGAGCACTAGCTGCTCTTGCAGAAGACCTGAGTTTGAGTCCCAGCACTTACATGGCAGCTAACAACTGTCCATAACTCCAGTTCTAGGAGATCCTAATGCTCTCTTCTGACCTCCCCAGGCATTGGATGACACAGGTGCACTTACATAGTGTGCTAGATAGCTTTAGTGTCAACTTGACACATCTGAAGGAGACTTAATTGGGAAATTGCCTCCATTGGACTGGCCTGTGGGCATTTCTGTGGGGCATCTTCTTGATTATTGAGTGATGTGGGAGGGCCCAGCCCACTGTGGGTGGTGCCACCCCTGGGCAGGTGGACCTGTGTTGCATAAGAAAGCAGGTTGAGCAGGGGTCAGGGGAGCCAGCCAGTAAGCAGCGTTCCTCCAGGACCCGTGCTTCAGCTCCTGCCTCCAGGTTCCTGCCCTGACTTCCTATCTTGGGCTCCCTTATGAACTGTGACCCGGGAGACGTAAGATAAATAAACCCTTTCCTCCTCAAGTTGGTCCTGGTCAGAGTGTTTGTCACAGCAATGGAGAAACAAAGTAGGACACACACATGCAGACATTACCCTCATACACATAAAATTAAAAAAAAATTTTTTTGAAAAAAGAAAGCTAAGCAAGGGCCTGAGAACAAGCCAGCAGGCAGCCTTCCTCCATGGTTCTTCTTCTTTGTTCTTAGGAGACAAAGAATCTTAGATAACACGATGAATTTTCTGGCCTACAGGAAGAAAGAAAGCCTCCATAATTCACCTTTATCCATGGTGGAAGAGGAATTAGGAAACAAATACTAAAAAAGACTCTTTAGGAGCTAGTAAGGAAAAAGGGTTGAAAATACTGGTCCATTTGCTGTAATTCGATACCCGTGGACAGAGCTAATCTACTACACCAGATACTCCACATGAATCCTTATGGGATTACAGTTGGAATCAGCCATTCAAACTCTTGTGTGGTTGATAAAGTGAATTCTGCCTTTGTTTTCTGTTGGAAATTTAAAGCAAATCTCAAAGGGTTGGCTGCTTCCCCTTTAGCTGTCTGGTTATACTAACTGTAGTGTAGTTTAGCCCATTGAGAAGGATCAGCAGTCCCCAGATCAGACAAACCTGAATTATGTCCCATGCTGACAAGCTGTGACTCACCTTGGGCCACCTGCTTCACTTTATATTTTGTTGATTCTTCTCTGGGGTGGTGGTGATCCTAGCAACTCAATTTGTCAGAAACTGTTTATAAGATTTGAAAGGAGAAGCCGGTCATGGTGGCGTACACCTTTAATCCCATCACGTGGGAGGCAGAAGCAGGTGGATCTCTGAGATTGAAGCCAGCCTGGTCTACACAGTGAGTTCCAGGACTGCTGGAGCTACAGGGAGACCCTGTCCCAAAAAAAAAAAAAAAAGAAAAAAGATTTGAAATGAGGATGCGTATGCAGATATCTAGACAGAGCTGGATAAAAAGAAGATTCAGTAATTTTAGTTTCTACCCTGTCCTGTGCTAGTCACCTGAGTAGTTTTTTTTAAATATTTGTGCATGTATGTAAGTGCACCCATGTCGTGCAATACCCATGGAGATCAGAAGACAGTGTTGGATTTCCGTGGAACTGGAGTTACGGGCAGTTTTTAGCTGCCATATGGGTGCTGGAAATTGAACTCAGGTCCTCTGCAGGAGCAACCAGTGCTCTTAACCACTGAGCCATCTCTCCAGCCCAAGTAGTTATTTTTTAGTATCTTATTATTTTCATTTTATGTGTATGAGTTTATTATCTAAATGTATGTGAGTGCAGCTATGCGTGCAGCTGCCCTCAGAGGTCAGAGGTAGGCATGTCTGATCTCCTGGAACTGGAGTTAGGATGGTTGTTAGCCGTCATGTGGGTGCTAGGAACCAAACCCAGGTTCCTCTGCAAGAGCAGCCAGTGCTTTTAACTGCTGAGCCATCTTTCCAGCCCCCTGAATAGTTATTATAATAGCAACTTCTTATCGAGTGTTCGATATTGCATCCAGTATTATGCTAAGTTCTTTTCATGAACTGTCTGTTCCACTCATTCTTCAGTACAGCCTTCAGGAGGCAGAGATAGGCAGATCTCTGTAAGATTGAGGTCAGTCTGGTCTACATAATGAGTTCCAGGCCAGCTAGGACTATAAAGAGACCCTGTCTCAAAAAACAAAGAAAAAAAAAAAAAGAAGAAAGAAAGGAGGGTTAATGAGACAGGAAGGGTTAAATGAGGTGGAAATGGGGGGCAGAGCAGAGGAGGGCAGAAGGGGAGAGAGAACTCACACTAAAGGTCTTTTCAATAACTCATGGAAAATGTACTACTATAGAAGCTTCATAACATATATACATAAGAGTTTAAATGTAGTTAAAGGGTTCAGTGGCCCTACCAGATACCACAGGCTAGCAAATAAAAGTCCCAAAGCTAGAAATGGATTCCTTCTTTTGAAGTTGTTGTTGGGGGGAGTGTCAGGAGCCGCTAATCATTCAGCTGTGTCAGGCTTGTTTACTGAGTGTGTGTTATGCACACCAGTATCTAATCTGCCTTATTAGGAGGAATATGTTTATATGGAGAGCCTCACAACACCTGCAATAGTGGAAGCCTTTGATCTGACCGCTCCCTGACCCTCAGATACAGGTGGGGAAAAACAGCAGTTGTAACTAATTGAGTTCTTCTGTATAAAAAGGCAGAACTGAAATAAATCGGAGCTGCAGTATTCACTGTGAGCCCTCCCAAGAAGCATCTTTTCTGTCTCCTTTCTTTCAATCCTCACTCCCCCTTTCAGGTACTGTCCGTTTTGGCCAGCTGGCACCGGCAGGGGAGGGGGTTTTTATAGACCCTCAAACAATACTGGCTATTGTTGCTGTTGACTGCCCTCCAAAACTTGACAGTAAGACCCTTATTGCTGAAGACACTACATATGTGAGTCGTAGAACAAACAAGGAGAAATAAAGCTGGTATGGACCTCAAAGCTTCATCTCTACTAGCCAGCTTTTATAGTACTAGAAGGCGCTATGCATGCTACTGGAAAAGAAAAGCAATCATCAGCCTTACCCAGCTGTGAACACTGTAGGCTACAATAATGGCAGGCCTGGCAAGATGTGCCCACTAGTTCAATAATGGCAGGAATGTTATGGGAGTAACCAACCACATTTAAGGCCCACTTCACAAGATGGAGCCCATACCTACCACTGTTATCAGGGCCAAGAACCTGTGACTAGACAGGTCACAGCCCATAAGGAAGAACCTACTACTGTTATTCTGCGAAATAGACATAGTATTAAATGGACTCCTAATGAGATTTTTGTACTCATGTATTAACACATCAACCCTCAGCAGAAGCTTCTTTCTGCAGTAGACGGTGATTAACACAGAAACCCACAACTGGTCAGTGTGCAGAGAATAAGAGACTGAAGAATGCTCAGTTCTAAATAGGACATATGTATCACACCCTGACCTCCCAAGGCTCAGGGAACATTGTGGAAGAGTAGACAGAAAGATTACAAGAGCCAGCTGTGGAAACCTTGTTGTCTGGACACCACAGGGCACTTGCATATACGAACTCACAGTGCTTGTTACAGCATGCAGAAGACCAGTACAAGCCCAAGACAGACAAAAATCCAGCTTGGATCGGGGGTGAGAAGGCCCATCTCAGCTGAGGATCTACTGGCAATTGGTAGCTGCTGGAAAAAGAGTCAGCTTTCTTTAGGGGTGTGACATCTGGTAGGTTGACCGGACTCCAAGGGATGGACCCACACCCAAGAGCATTTAGGGAACACAAACTAGACCAAACAGGCCTAAAGAAAATAAATACTAGTGGACATGTAATGGGGATAGTGGTGGGGAGGGGCCTGAATATGATCAAAATTTGATACATTGTATGAAATTCTCAAAGAATCAATAACAATATTAAAAATAATAATGTTTTCAGCTACTGAATGTTGAAATGGTTTGGTTACACAGCGTTATTATAGCAATAATTGACCAATGCAGATATGATCAATAGTTGTCCTCATTTTACAGATCAGGAAATAAGGCACCAAGATTTTAATAACTTACACAATGCCACACCACTTAAGTGATAATTTAATATAGGTAGGTTGAGGTCAAAACACCTACTCTTAACCATTCTCATCATTAACCAGAGGTAATGCAATGGCAGTTAAAATAAACAAGTATGTATTC